CCCCAACCCCAAAACCCCAAAACCCCAAAACCCCAAAACCCCTTTTTGCACAATTTAAGTTGCATCACCAAAAATTTCTCATAATTTTAATACTAATTGCGTTCAATGGAGTCCAAAGAAAGTTTCAAGGAAGAACTTATGGCTACTGCTAAGGCCATTGCCAGGCCAGGATATGGAATCTTAGCAGCTGACGAATCAACTGGTACTATCGGTAAGCGGTTTGCTCCAATCGAGGTGGAGAACACCGAACCTAACAGAAGAGCTTATCGTGAACTCTTATTCACCAGTCCTGATATTGAGAATTACATCAGTGGAGTAATCATGTTTGAAGAGACACTTGACCAAGAGACCAAGGACGGAAAGAACTTCGTTGAGCTACTCAAGGAAAAAGGAATTATCACTGGTATTAAGGTTGATAAGGGCGTTGTGATTGTAGGAGGAACTGAAGATGAGACTGCAACCCAAGGTCTAGATAAGCTTGGTGAAAGATGTGCTGAATTCTATGCTAAGGGAGCCAGGTTTGCGAAGTGGAGAGCCGTCCTCAAGATCGACGTAACTAAGAACTGTCCATCTGAGCTTGCGATATATGAGAATGCCCATGGGCTAGCAAGATATGCGTCTATTTGTCAAGATAATGGACTTGTTCCTATTGTTGAACCAGAAGTGCTTTGTGATGGTACTCATACTATAGAAGAATGTGCTGAAGCTTCTGAGAGAGTGTTTGCAGGAGTTGTCAAGGCTCTCCAGGACCAGAAGGTCTTCCTCGAGGGAGCCTTGTTGAAGCCTAACATGATCACTCCTGGTAAAGAAGCTGCAGAAAAAGCTACTGCAGGAGAGATTGCTTTCTACACTGTGAGAACTCTCAGCAGAACTATTCCAGCTGCTATGCCGGGCATCCACTTCTTGTCTGGAGGTCAGTCCGAAGAGGAGGCCTCTCAGAACCTGAATGCTATGGCTAAGCTTCAGGATGTACCAAAGCCATGGTATCTTTCTTTCTCCTATGGAAGAGCACTTCAAGCATCTTGCCTCAAGGCTTGGATGGGTAAGGAAGAGAATGTGGAAGCTGCCCAGAAAGAATTCATTGCTAGAGCTAAAGGAAATTCAGAAGCCACTCTTGGAAAGTATGAGGGCGGCGGTAGCACTGAAGATTTGTATGTGAAGAAATATGTATACTAGTTTTGATGATAAAGATATTTCTTCATCAAATATCCACAAAAGATTCTATTTCTAGAAAACTAAATGGGGTTTTGGGGTTTTGGGGTTTTGGGGTTTTGGGGTTTTGGGGTTTTGGGGTTTTGGGGTTTTGGGG